TGGCCATACATTGTATTCGGGGGAAGAAGGTAGCTTCCGATCGTAATTGCGGTCGAATACGTGCAGGGATGGCCGGTATAATTGAGGTCTGATACATCCGGGGAAGTTCGAGTGAGAGTACACCTTCGGCAAAGTAGCTTCCAATCGTAATTGCGGTCAAATACATTAAGCGACGGCCATTATTGCAGTCCGATACACCCACTGGCAGGGAAGTTAGAGTGAGAGTACCCCATCGGCGAAGTCCACGGTTCCAAACGTGCCAGCATCGCCACACATGCTCTCCAAAAAATTCAGACTGCGAAAGCAAAATTAATTTGAGAGCTGTCGAAAGTGGGGGAAGTTGGGGGGGGGGGGCTTGAGAGTGCTCTCGAACTTTAAAAAGGAGCGCCTGCACTCTGCAGAGAGCCAGTTTCCAGATGAGAGGGGCTGCCGACTTCAGTCCGCGACATCCAAGAGCGTGTCGCGGTGGACTGCGCGTCTCTTGTCAAAAATTCGGCACTTTTCGTCCCGCCGCAGACAGAAGAAAACTCCTCGGCCTCATCTCTGCATTGTCTGCAAGTCAAGAGTGCCCGGTTCGGGAGTGTACGGTGTGGCGCAATGAGCAAACTCAACCGGGATCTTTCTCGAATTCTGAAGTTCGGGAGTACTCTCCGACTTCTTTTTGAGAATGGCGTGGGATCGGTGTATGCTCTCGCCTTTCACAATGCAGATCGGCCCTTCCTGGCACTTCTCACAATCTTCTTCTTCTTCTTTTTCATTAAATTTATTATTATTATTATTATTATTATTATTATTATTATTATTTCCGTCTGCAACACTACCAATGGTGCTCTGTTTCTTTTTTTGAAACAAGTGCAGCTGCATCAGGTTTGCAGTTCAGAAATCCAAAAATCAAACAAAGAAAAGAAAAAAAACGACAAAAAAAAAAAAAAGCAGTTTGGACATGGCCGCAGTTTAATACAGCAAAAAAAGAAAAATTCAAAAAACATGGAAGAATCGCCTTTTCGAGAGTGACACACCTTTTCGAGAGTCGCGGCATGCTAGAATCGCCTTCTCCAGCTGGGTGTATCCTTCTTTGCCATATGGAACTCAACCGTGACTGAAATGTACTTTTACGGTTTTACCCCTTTTGTTAAATCTGTTCTTATAAACAGTGGGTGGCCTTGAGGTACCATCTTCGAACTGACTGGTGCCAGGGAAATTCAGAGTTATTTCAATCAACTGATTCCATCTGGCAGTCCATAATTCAACAGCTCACCAACTGAGCTAGGCCAGTTGTTGGCACTCTGGTTTCAAAACGCTGGGTTTCCTGAAGCCCATCGAAGCCCCTTCTTTCCGGCACTCGTCAGATCAGTTTTTTAAAGAAAGAATTGGCAAACAACACAAGAGAGAGAGAGAGAGAGAGAGAGAGAGAGAGAGAGAGAGAGAGAGAGAG